GGTTTGCCTGAATATGATTTTTCTAAAGTTCTTTATGCTCTTAGTGGCTATGACAAATTCAATAATAATCAAGAATATTATATTGAAAATATATCTAACGATTGTATGGAATTAAAAATTCAACATAATCTTGATCTTATTGGAAAACTTCCATCTAAAATATGTAATAGATGTACATTGGCTTTAACGGTTATTCATTGGATTGCTCTTGCTCAATATAATCGTAATGATGTAATGAAATGTAGTACTTCGTATTATTATGGACTCTATCTTCATGCAAAATATATGAAAAATCTAAATGATATCGATCAAATATTACACGACTAAGAGTGAATCAAACACAATTCTCACTTGACAAAATTCTATTGAAAATAATAATTTTATAAATGCACGAAAATAAAACATGCATCCTAATTGAGAACAATACATGAAAATGTCTGTTTTCTTAACCATGTTATCATAATACTTCTAAATTACTACATGTCTGCTATCAACATATGTGTCTAAGATGAATTTTTCGAATTTCTACGAAATTTCATGTGAATTTCATAGAGACTCCTTTAGTTTTTTCTGATATTGTTATCTGAGGATGTCTATATGATACCAGAAATGAAGGTATGGAGATATAGGAAATTATGGATGTACAGAGGATGTTGAACATATAAGAGCTCTATAGGAAGTAATGGAGATATAAAACGTAAATAATGTCTTATCCCATATTCATTGATTGTTTCTCAAGATAAATATATAACGAGAGACATTGTTTACCTACTGTGTAATCGTAATTGACTTAATTGAATAATCAGTTCTTGAACATCAGATACATGTTTATCAGTAATTTCATTAGAAACAGTATTGATAAAAGACAGCAGTCCATATTTATAAAGAAATACATTGTATCTTACGTCATAAATTCATATCGAAAGAATGATCAACAATTTTGTTTCTATTTTTGGGTACAATTTTAAAATATAGAGATTTGTTTAGTTCTTTGAAGTTTTTGAAAGTTTATATTACAAATTTTTTTTAAATATCAATTGATAGATTTAAGATCTCTTTCATAACAATCAGTTGATCTGAAATGTCATAAATTGATAAACATTGATTGAACTACATGAGCAAGTTTATTAGATAAGTAACGATGTGTGTTAAAACAAGAAACATGCTCATTATTTAACATAAATGATTCAATTCGTCAAAGAAGAGTTTTTGAATAACAAAATAGATCTATTAAATCAACTAAAAAAATTACATTAAGATGATTATGCCTGATTGATACTGAATTTAAGTCTCATAAATAAAAAAATTATTAATTAATATAAAAATTCACTTTTCTAATAATAAGTTTTAAAATGATCAATTGAAATTCCAGAAAAAAAAATTCATTTTTAAATAATGAGACAAGAAACTTATTACTTATCTATATCATTGACAAGAATCTTTGGTAATTTTCCTTCCAATTCTATCAATATATTTCATTCTTCCTTAGTGATATTAATGCTGTTGTAAACATCATTGAAGCTTATTCAAAGAAAAAACTCACAGAGAATAACTGCTTCTCTAACATAAAAAGTTTTATCAAGAACGCTTGTATATAAATATATTCATGGATTATTTTACTAAAATGAAACAAAGTCGAACTACGCCCGAAAATTGCTCACACTTTTTAAAGTGACTCAAATTTACTGAGCTTGTGAAATACTGAAAAACAGAAGGAATTTGGTTTTGAACTGTGATGAGTTTTCACTTGAAATATCTCTACATCTCTTAAATTTGTAATCTAAATAGTATTACTGACAGCGTCAATACAACGAATCTTGCTAGCGTCTACTGATATTCATTGTTTCAGCATTTTTTTTTTCTTTCTGAAGAAAATTCTTTTGCCGAAAAATTCAATTCATCATCTTATGAAAACTAAAATTAATGTTAGAAAAAGAACAAACAGAATTCTATTCAATCAATATTAAGATCTCTATCGTATGTTGGATACGAGACAATTAAAACACAATAAAGTTATTTTGATATTATTCGACAAGTCTAATTTAAAACTTAATAATCGAAAAGAAAAATTTTATCGAACATGAAATGACAATGAGATTAACTTTTCTTCTTTTTTACGGAAGATTATTTTGAAATCCAAACAGTTCATTCAAAGCGGGTGTGGATGTGATTGTGAATGTTGGTGTGCGGATGTCATTGAAAAGACGAGCAACAACTGCACACACACCCATACCCACCCTACAAAGTAATTCAAATGAAATGAATTACAAAGAAATTCAAGTGAAGTGAATTCTGTTATAATTTTGTATATAATTTTCTCTATCAATAAATCTTGTAAGGTCTAAGGGGATGTAGGGTGTTAGTGTTGGTATACGTGTGGGCGTCTCTGCAAAGAGAACACCCACATCTCACATCCTCTAAAAACACTTTGTCTAAGTTACTTCACTGGAGAAGTTTTGACCAGTTTCAACAGATAGTCGATGTTTGCGAATGAGAAAGAGATAAGAACAAAAATATAAAAAAACACAATCGTATCTGCATCATAGTGACAACAAAAAGCAACTGTCATATAACGCATGCATCGACAATATTGTTGCATTTATTTTCGTATAGATTTCATTCTCTAGAAATCACATCGAATAGCCGTCATGTTTCACAGTTCTAGAATTGATCAATATTCTATATGTTATATATATAACTTTTTAATACTTCAGTTCATTGTCTCAGACTCATCCACGTATTAGAATTTGCTCATCATTGATTATGAAGCAAAATTTTGGTCACGTTTTAGCTATCGAAATGGATAAACAAATTCTCAATATGTTTGCTGGTGTTTATATGCTAAACAATAAAACTTGCCTTTCATCATTATTACAAAGAAAAACATATTTTTTACTTTTAGATAATATAGAAAGATCATCAGAAGTAAATAGTAGAAAACAGGCGTCATAACCAAGGAATTCTATTATTATGAACAACAAAAATCTATTCAACAACAATGAATCGTTTTTATCAAAATATTCATTCCATTTCGTAGTACATAAACAAGAATATATTGAAGAAATGGCAAAAATTTTCTATGAACAATGGCAAAATACTTATCATGCATTTGGATTATACAATTTAGAAGATGTTATACGAGATATTAAAGATAATCATGCTTGTAATTATGATCAGTTACCAATATTAGCGATTGCATTAGATAATAATAATCAAAATTTAGCTGCAACAGCTGGATTAGAAAAGTGTGATGTACCTGCAGGTAATCCCTATTACAACACAACACCATGGATGGCCTGCGTTTATACAAAACCAGAATATCGTGGCGAAGGTGTAGCAACATATATGATTAATAAGATTCTCGCGGTAGCAAAACAACTAAATTATACTCATGTGTGGCTATGGACGGAAAATGCAACTAGCTTGTACGAAAAACTGGGATTTCATATAGTAGAAAAAATAAAACATATTGGAATGGATATTACGATTATGAGAATTGATTTTGATACATCAGCTTATTAAGAGTTAGAAGAATTCGAAATCAGTCTTTCTCTCCAAAATAAAAATCTTTGTCCAAGTATTCTTTATTCTTGTTGACTAATTTTGTTTCATTATATAAAGTAGTTTTCATAATATCTTTAGAGTATCATTTTGAGAATAAAGGAAGAATGATTCATTCGAATCGTTTTCTTCACCGGCTCAAGTGAAACAAACACTCAGTCACTACAAAAGTATTTGCAAATGCTTTGATCGTATTCCAATGATTCGAAATCGAATGATCAATCTTTTTGTGATTTGAGAAATGTATTGACAATGACACAATTTTCTGAGCAAGTTGAACTGGATTGTTCTGTGTCATCCAAGTGCTTCCAAATTGTATAATCATCAACTGTAAATGTGTTCAATGTTACTATTCACCATGAATTATAAGCTGGTCCAATCAGACCAAGCCGTTCTCTTCGTCGCTAGAAATTCACCAAGCTTAACTACACCAAGGATATGGGATAACAAGTAGATACACATTTATATTCATACCCACACCCCTTCAAGATTTACTTTTCTTTCCGAAAGGAAAGTGAAAGTGATGCCTCTAATACATACTGTGTGTAACATATGCTCATCGTACTTAGTAAAAACACTCCGTTTCCTAGAAAACTCAAATCCATTTCTAAATCTCTTAGCATACCCTTCAAGATTTGCGAGAAGGTTTCCGAAAGCTCGAAGAGTCTTAGGTTTTCCAAAATATCGGTTTCGACACTCTGAAAGTATTTTGGAACACCTCTCTTTTGCTATCAGAAACCTAATAGTATTTTCAGAAATCTTAAAGGTATTACAGGAAACTAATATTGATAGAAAAACTAAGTTGGTATCCGAAGATGCATGTGAGGATAGCGTTTTTGTTTCCAGTCTTTCATCGGAAATCTAAAAGGTTTTCGAATTTCGTGAATCTCAAGAAGGTATAATGGGAAGCAAAATCGATTCCTGAACTTTTATTTGAGACAGTGAAAAGTTTCTGAAATTTTAAAAATCTTCGGAATGTGTGTGGGTGTCCACGTCGTTGCACATGTTGATGATTAACTTCGTTTCTCAACAACTAACATCAGCATCGACCCTCAGATAAAACTCATTCACAAGCAGGCCACATTCATACCACCGACGTCTTCACGCTACTGCTAAAAAATTAATCTTCTATTACAAAATTCGTTTTACAAAACGGAAAAGATATATGTTGTTTGGATTCTTTTTATTTAAATCATAAATAGATAAGCCATCGAATGAGATCCTCAAGCAATATTGAAACTAGTCATGACTGCTTCTTTACACCCACCAGAACTCCTCACTTTTATTTAGTTTTAAGCAACAATAATATTTTAAAAAAATGTTTTTTTTTCATTTCGTTGCTCTTACTCCATTTAAAATCATTTTTTTTTGTTCATATTTAGAAACAGTTTTATCTCAAAAAGTTCTCCTAAACTCTCACAAAAAAAGATGATTCATTAAAAAAAAGCATCAAATAAAACAGACATTAATCAAAGTAATATCTTTTTTTTATATTAATCACATATTTATTTTCGTTCTTCATTATTTACTTATTGTTCACTTGGTTTATGTTATAATTTCATTCTCATCAAGCATCTTCTAAATTTCGATATGCAACGTAATAGAATAACGAAAAAGAAAAAATTTAAACAAATATTAAGACATCACACTACAAGCTTTTTTATTTGTCTTTCTTCAAGTCGACTAAAAATTCCAATTGTTTTGTATTATGATATCACCATCAATTATGTTATATATCTCTCACTTCGAGGTTCTGTTCTTCCTATACGTTTTCAAGAGATAAGTTAACAGATCTTCGAATGCTAAATTAATAAAGACGCACGAAACAATAATTATAAAGTCGAATTATGAGAGATGGATCAAATTAGTCTCTTTGCAAGGTGGGTGTGGATATGGATGTGCGTGTACGGGTGTGGGTGTCGGTGGGGTGGGTGTGGGTATGGGTGTGTGGGTGTGAGTGTGGGTGTGGATGGGTGGGTGTGGGTGTGGATATGTTGGTGTGGGTGTGGATGGTGTGGGTGTGGGTGGGGTGTGGGTGGGGTGTGGGTGGGGTGTGGGTGGGGGTGTGAGTGTCAGCGTATGGAAGATCCACACCCTCATCCACATTCCCACCCACACTCCACACTCACACCCACAGCCACACCCCACCCACACCCACACCCATACCCACCCACTCACACCCACTCACCCACACCCACACCCACACCTACCCACACCCACACTCACCCACCCAGACCCACACCCAAAAGGGAAAGAACCAAAGATTTTAATTTTTAAGCTTTCTTCTTACTACAAGGAGTATGATTTTGTTCATAATTCCTAGCAAAGAACTAAAGAAAATGGACAATATCCAATACGTAAGAGTCATTAAATAGAACAGCATATATATATAAATCCAATCCAAGTATTTATTTGATTGATCACTTATTGTTTTTTTAGCAATTCAGTGATAGTCATCTGAAATATTTTTCATGTTCATTTTCATATATAATAAGTTTAACAATTACTCTAAGAAATTACCGAAAACAGAAAATAACAATTGAACAAAAATATATGTAAGTTCCACAAAATATTTGCCTCTATACTATTGGTTTTTCTTTTGAGGTGGTTGATAGTAAATGTGGCTTCATTAGATCGCAACCTTTCTGGAGTGAGTTTTACATGAGGCAGGAACTTATGTGACTGGAAAAGAGAGAGAGAGAAAGATAAGTAAAAACTTGTATTTCGCGATTAAGAAAAAAATGTACGACCAAAACAAGATCAATGTAGTCATATTGAACTTATATTTCGGGTCAAAACTGTATGTTGTATGGTTAGCTTTCAAAGGCAGTCGTTGCATAAATGACGTCGGAGACGCTTTGGACATTGATTAATAGTGCATATACCTGTTGTAATTACACATATTATAGCACAAATGTAATTACAGATCGTCAGGCCATAGACAAGCTTATAAAACGATAAACGACATGCATAAGTATCAGTGACAGATGATGAACATTGGACAGCTTTGTTCAATTCTACTATCTCAGGAACAGTGTGATTCATAAAGAAAGGCACATTTATTGCCGTAGGAATCACAAAGCAGTAAATGGTTGCTATAAGACCATTATCTAAAGTAAGTTGGCTTCTTGATTTATATTTGTAAAAAGAATATAAAACTATGACGACCAGATCAAAGGTATGACAGAAAAAGAAACCACGTATGTAACTCAAAGAAGTTTCGGGTAGAGTACATTGGCCGCTAATAAAAGATAAGATAATATTCAAAAGAGCAAATGAAATCAGAAATAAAACCCAAATAAGTGCACACCAATTTTCGACGCATTGCTTATTATAATGTATTTGTGATAATGCTAGCTGATGTTCAGCAACACAAGGATAATTTGTTACGGAAGAATCAGTTGAAGCAACATATGTTGGCGGTGGAGAAGGTGGTCTGTTTGTTACCACTAGAGAGTATTCTGGAGGATCTTGTGCTGAAATTGAAGAATAGCTTGGTAGGTCAGATAACATTTTTGTTGCTGTGATAAACTTTCATCAATGGCAGCTACAACTGCATTCAACACGTGTGACGAAAGAAAACTTTATTTCATAACCGAACACGAATCTAAACAAAAAGAATGTCAGTACACCACCAAAAAACCACGCAAGAACAAAACAATATATATATCTGCCGCTTCCAACAGTTTCACTCATGCATATATCACGTTTCAACACACTTTCTCCTACTCAAAATCAGAGGTGAACAACGCAAAATGCGAGAGGAGGAAAAAGCCATGTCAGAGAATGTGAATAAAAAGAAACAAACATGAGAGAGAAAAGCATGTATCATGGCCATTGACAATGACACCACGATTTTTCTTTTCTCCAGAACCGAAATAAAAACCATTTCGGTGACGTCACATTATGGTGACTCACTCCTTCGAATACAGCAACAGTTCATGTCTTTTATAAAGAGTTTGTTCACAGACTGCGATTCAGTAACGTCAGTCTAATTTAACAATTCAAATTATAGGAGTACATAATATATATAGTTTTTTCTATAAATAAGTGTACAACACGCAATTTTCTCTCATATGTCCTGATGAACATGAGCAAGGTATGCCGTTCGTGTAAGTTGGAAATTTCCAACTACGTAATTACTTCTGTTATTCATGGAGTATGAGTGTGGGTGTAAGTGTTGGGTATGTCTGGATGCCCCTTTATATCCACACCCACATCCATACCTACACCCACACGCACACCCACACCCACACCCAACCTAGGGATGCACGGTTCCGGTTTTTATCGGTTCCAAAGAACCGGAACCGATGGAACCGATTGGAACCGATAGGAACCGGAACCGGAGCCGATAAAAATCGGTTGAAAACGATCAGAATCGGTTGGAACCGATAATAAATTATACTGAAACCCATGCAGAACTGATAAGCACAGACTGAATTTCATGCTGGAGTCGAGCGAAATTCGTTAGAACCAATGTCAGAACTGATTAGAATCGGTAGGAATCGATTAGTACCGATTGAAAGTGATCAGAATCGATTGAAACAGAAACTAGAATGGGTCAAAGCCAATTGATACTATGCACAGAGAAATTGGAAAAGTAAAAAGCACACTGATAATCAATTGAAAGGCTAATGGTTGTATATCCTCACTCTATACGAAGGATCATAAGTTTTAGTGCAACTCCTACGTTCAAAACATTTGTTGTATGCAATGGTCGAATAGTACCCTACTCCTACTCATGGCAATTACTTGAAAGAATCTTGTGCGCAATAGAGTATGAGTGAGTTTGGAGCCTTTTGAAGTCGTCCATATCTGAAAAATATAGATCTGCATTAAATCATATTTCTTATCAAAATTACACATGACAAGAGTCCATCTACCATTCATCTTTTAATAATTTCGTGCTATAATAGGTGGTCACTAAGCATATTGAAACTGTTGACTACTAATAAAAATTC